TATATATATATATATATATATAATGTTGTAGGTTTCCCCTCCAGTGGTTAACTTATCTTTTAAACCAGGCAATTACCATTCATCTTATCATTTACATTAAGCTGCTAACAATTAGTTTTTTTGTTTTCAAAGACTGACAATTCCTTTTTACATGGTGTGTTTATCTGCTACTCAGTAATGGCACATTGTTTACTAAACTTATAGCCATGTTCTCTCATCAACAAAGGTGTTTAAAATGTATCCTACTTTCCTATGGACCGTTATTCTCCAACACATTCACACAACCAGTAGGCAGACATTAAAATTGGAATTACAATTCAGGTGCCTAGCAATGGTTTCAAATACCTTCAAAATTCTTGAAAACTCAGGGAGACACAAATTTTTGGGGCACATTTATGTACCAATCTTGAACATTCCTATCAGTTTCAGCATGCCCCCTTCCACCACAGCGTGTGGAAGGGGACACGATGGCACTGATAGGAATGCTCTGTACCTTCCAACAGACCTATCTCTGAGCATCCTGTATAGCCAGCAGGTAAGTGTGTAATGTGAAAAAGGAATAGCAAGCTATATATATTGACGGGAAATGTAGAAATGTGCATATTAGCATGACCCATGATTTAGGGCACCTGGGGCGCTAAATAATTAAACTGAAGGCATGGGTATGCACTGTCTGTGTTTATGTATTAGTCTTAACTCTTAAGAAAATAAATTATATTGCAAATTCTCTAAAAGCTTTATAAATATTGACTAGGGCGATCACTACCAAAAAAATCCCCAAAAAACAAAACAACATTTTTTTTAGCACTAATTTGTGATCTAGTAACACATTTAACAAAACAAGTTAAATATCCTCCCACTGTTCATACAATACATTTTCTTTGTCATTTAAGTGATCCAACTGCAGATAATACAAATAGATCAAAGTAACACTTTTTTAAGCCAAATACCAGGGAATTAATACTGTATCCACCCAAGGCACAAATCCATGACAAGCTGAATAACAAGAATATTTTTCAAACATGCAGTAGTCCAAATGATGCCTCGATGAGGGCAAATGGGGATCAATTAGTAGATGATGGCGATGCTCTCGTTAGCGAGAAGCTGTCTAATATATTATCCCCTACAGTTAATTAAGCTCTCCTAGGCATAAAAATGGAGCGTAGAGAAGTTATGAAATAAAATTAGTACCTTCCAGAACATTAGACTGAAATATAGAAATTCAATAAAAGTAAGGGAGTAGCATAAATTTAAATAAACCAGCCAGTTAAGGCTTTTGTACTGCTACGCAATTACAAATGTACTGATGTTGAAAATAACAAAGACATTCTGCTTTTTTCAGTTCATATAATAAGTATGATAGCATGTTGATTACTTCTGGTAACAGAAGAAACACAAGAAATACCTGTATCTAATTAGCTATACTAAATGTAGGTATTGTGAAATATGCAAAACCCTACACAACAATTATTCAGGTCATACTACTACTATGATACTACTTTTAGGAAATGTTATTGAAGCACATAATTTATCAGAAGTTGTGGCTTCAGGGTTTATATGAGAAAATGATTGCTTATAAAACCAGCAAATGCAAAGTGTTTATAGAAATCTGTAAATTATAGTAGATGTTTGGTGTAACAGCAGCATGCTTTTTTTTTAAATTCTATCAGATAAGCCAAAGATTATTTGAGTGATTTAGAAGCTTCATGCTGACATGTCATCACATGGCTTTGTTAGAAAACAAAGGATTAGCATTATGGTTAGAGTTAGCATTAGCATTAGGGTTAGCTAGCATGAGCATAAGGGTTAGTGTTAAGGTAGGCATTAGAGTTAGGGTTAGTGTTAGCATGTGCATTAGGAATAGTGTTGGGGCTTAGCATTAAAGTTATTGTTGGGTTTAGCAGGAGCTTTAGGGTTAGCATTAGAATTAGGGTTAGTGTTAAGGTAGGCATTAGAGTTAGGGTTAGTGTTAGCATGTGCTTAAGGGTTTGGTTTGTTTTTGTTTATTAACAAAGCCATTAATTACCATGCCAGCAATGTTTTTTTCATACATTTTTTGTTTATTAAATGTGCATGATGAATTTGGTGGTCAGTTTGTGATAACATGTCTGTAAATACAATATTGCCTATTCATTCCTAACAGTTAGTAATACTATTAAATAAATATCAAAATTAAAAAGTCAGTTTCAATGTGTATAAGATCATCACCATTCAGTATGACAAACACTTAGGACTAAAAAAAAACACTTCCAACATTAGGGAGGTTAAAAAGCCAACTTCTTCCTTAGTAACCATATTTCATAGACTATTGTTCTAGGTCACAAAAACTGCTTTTGGATTCTTAGTACACATGTTATAGAGCACAACTGGAAATAGTACATTTAAGCAAAAGTTGGTGAAGATGGAATTTTTACTGAAGGCTCCACACTTCTTTAAATTAAAATACAGTGTGAAATGAATCCTTGTTTGCATTTGTCATTATCTTTGCACCTGGAGCTCTCCATACCTCTTGTATTCTTATCATTTAAAAAGGTGCAGGGCAGCAATTTCTCAGCATCCACCACATCTGGCACAGCATGACTGATGAATGTTTAAGTGAATAGCAAAAAAAGAGCTCTTGTGAATGTAATTTGCTACTCCCAAGCTTGACATATTTATTAAGGCAGCAAAGTAATTATTAGATACTTGCTTTCCATATCACAGAGAGCAGCTCCCCCAGAGGCAGGCTCAGATGTAATAAATGTAAATGAAATTGTATGTGCAGAATTTAAATAAAATCACACTGCATTAGTGTAAGCTATAAAACTTGAGCAGTAGAAGCTAGAAAAGAATGACATTGTTTCTAGTAGCTGTATACTCTACGGACCACAGTAAAACAAAACACTCAATTACACAAAACATAAGACACATATAGGGTGTTACAAAAAGCAACAAAATGACTAACACCTGCTGCCAATGGTTACTAAAGCTAATTTATGAAACAGAGAAAAGGCACATCTACAATGCATGTTCTACTGCAGAACAGAAATAGCACATTAAACTAGCAGCATCTAGAAGAATAATAGGGAGAAATCAATGTTCTTTTATTTGTATTTTTTTAAGTAATAGAGTGTTTAAAGTGGATTTTTGGGGGGCTCACAGTGATTTGTTTTTTACTTCTACTTTACACTTTCTCAAAGGGTGTCCAGTGTGGACACAAGTGTGGATTTGTTTCTAAAATTTAGAAGAGGGTATATAACAGGTCAGCAAATCACTGACAATTTCCTGGCCATGTATGTACAATCAGCCCGTGTTTAGTAAACACATACAATTGCTCAAAAGCAATTCTTACTATTTCAGTTGAGCAGGCTGTTTTCCAATGATGTCACAGGAGGTCCAGAATTCAACTGTATAATCCTCTGTGCCTTCAGAAAAAAAGCACTTTCTTATAGGTTCCTGTTCACAGTGCAGGGCAGGGTGTCCATGTTTTTGCATGGAGCATGGGCTTCCCTACAATGACAACCACATAGGGTCTGTTAGGGGTCCTTAGGGCTCTCCTACCAGATTTTCAAGCAGATTGGTTTGCTTGGTGGAAAATCAGTGATCTCTGGTCCTGGATCCTTTATTTATGTTTTGTTTTGAAGCCCCAGTTTGACAGCTATCAATACTTGCAGCCTATTATTTTGATACCGGTAGATAATCACCTGCTTGCTTTTCACAATTCCTGGGGTATGATGCCCCAGAGATCCTTTGCCCCAGAGATCCAGATTCTTTTCTACTACCTCTGCTGCAGCCAGAACATGTCTGCGCTAAATAGAGGTCATATATT